TGTGTGTGTGTGTGTGTGCAGCTCAGCAGGACGGCAGTACCTCGCTCCAGATAAGTCTTTGAGTTCCTTCCAGTGGTCGACAAACTGGGCGAGCCTCTGCTGGATCTCCTCCTGACCGATGGTGTTGTCATCAGACAGCTTCTTCCCAGTGTCCAGCACCGACTGTTCTCACACACACACACAATCCAGAAAGTGAGTAATCCCACTTTACATTATCGTTTTATGAAGCGAGGAAACAGATGAACAGACGAGTCTCTTACCGTAATGGCCGGCTCGTGCGCTCCCAGCTCGGCCTCCAGTCTCTTGTGTTTCTTCCTCAGATTCTGTACACCTGTCAAATCACGTCCGTAGTCCTCCGAACTCACGAGCAACTTCTTTTCTCTGTGTGTGTTTAGATTCAAATGTGTCATAAATAAACTGAGGAGCAACCAGAACTGATGTTCCTCTGGAGAACATGAAGGGAAACGCTTCTTACTTGATCCAAGACTCTTCATCATCCAGGTCCCTGAAGAACTGATGCAGGCGGTGGGACTCGTTGAGTTTAGCTCGGCGCCCGGCTGCCATGCTCTTGATCTTGGTGAAGCGGCAGTTGACGGCATCGCGCTTGTCCTTCACCTGCGTGGTGTCGAAGGCGCTGCTGCCCATCAGGCTGTCCGCCTGGCCGTTCAGGTCCTTCAGACGATCCTGGGGGGAGCAGAGTTGGTCAGAGGATGTAATAGTTTTACTTCTTTGGGATTATAAATCCCTCAGTGGGTTTTTCTCTAAGTGGTGACAAGTCTAAAATTGTGAAATAAGTTCTCTGGTCTCCAGAGGTTGAGCTGAGCCACATGCAGAGTAATGAGCTGATTACCTCATGGGCAGAGATATCAGCCTCCAGCAGCTGGTGTTTCTTCAGCAGGTTGTTGACTGAGGCCAGATCTTTACCATAATCCTCAGATGCGAGAAGAGCTTCGACCTGAGGGACAAGGACATGATTCAGACTCAGACACGTACTGAGAACTTCAGCTCAGAGTTTCCACCTGTCGTGCAGCCTCTCACCTCAGAGAGCCAGAAGTCAAAGTCCTTGATGCCGGTGTTGAAGTTCTGCTGCTTGTTGGCCTCTTTGAGTTTCTGGCTCTTCTCTGCTGACTTGTTGACGAGGAACTGCCACTGTTCATCCAGAGCGTTGAGGCGTGCCTGACGAGACAGACAACTTTATTTACTGCCTGTGAATCTCATTCTGCTAAAAACCAAAACGTAACGGACATTGAACGACATCCTTCACAGACAGTGTGGACATACCTTGACAGCGTCCTCGCTGCCGGCGCAGGCTCCTCTCTGAATCAAGGCGTTGCCGGTATCGATGACGCCACGGATCCTGTCTGCGTTGGCGTGCAGCTCTGCCTCAAACGCTTGATGTTTCTGATGCTTACTCTGACGGAGGGAACATGGACGCAGCGTGAGAACCACGAGTTGGACACATTTACAAAGAAACCCCAGTTTTACAGTTTGTATAGAAATTTCAGCAGTTTATCATGAGGTTGTTTTAAATGACGGTGTGGATGAAGACCGGTGGGTCAGAGCGTCGTCATCCACCAGAAAAAAAAGAACATGAGGCTTCAACTGCAGAAATTTCAAAATAAACTGGAAAAAATGGAGGTGTCCTAAAACTTTTGTCCAATATTGTCGTGGTTTCATACTTACATTCAAGAGATGAAGTTACCAAGTTTAATCAAAACCTTTATATTGTGTAACATGTACTTGACGACCTTAGAGGTGAAATTAAAAAAAGGAAAGAAACTACAGCAGACAACGTGTCGCACATGGATATAAACATACGCAGGACAAACAAGTGAAGAATGGCAGTGACAACATCTGCAACAGAGCTGAGAAAACCTACAGGAGCAAGAGTCTCTTCAAAGCTGCTTCATGTTTGTGTCTTCTGATATTTTCACTGTGTTAGTGAAGTTAATTATTACTTAAACATCAAAAACAGATCAAACTTCTTTTTACAATTTAAAATTTGAGACCAGCGTCGTTCATCAGGAATCATTCAGACGTCGGAATTTCATTCCGAGATCCGATTTAATCAATTTGATGTCATGTGAAGCAAATTTAAAGATGACTCTTCTCCTCAAGAGCTGAAAACAAAAACGGAAGCCACACCCAAAAACTATGAGCATTTGATGATACAGACAAACCTGGAATAAAATATAATGAACAGATGAATTAAAACATCTAAATTAAAACCAAGTGGAAAAGAAGCCGGAACTCGACGGTGCTGATGAGGGACGAACTGAGGATGGACAGGATGTTCTTTGTGGTGTCTACACACACAGCACAGACACGGACACATGGAGTAACCTGCTCAGGTGTTAGTCGGCCGACACACTACACAAACTTACCAGCAGCTTGGACAGCTATAAAAAATAAAGACAGTGGGAGAAAAGTTCAGTCTCACTTCACACAAGACAAACGGAGGGATTCAACAGTTAAGAAGAGTCAAGTCAATGAAACAAGACAGATTAGCAGGTTTAATGTTGCTCAGGTCACATGACTCTGACGCACTTTATCACCTGACCAAGAATCTGAGATTATTTTCCTTCTTTTTCTCTGACAAAGAATCACATGCTGTCGTTTCTCTTCACTAACTCACGCTGACCCCACGTCTGAACACATTCCTGCAGTTCTTCTGGACTAACTGAGAACGTTAGAGTCGTGACGGGAGAAGTCTGACGTGTACCTGGATGTTCGTTGGGTCTTTGTAGGATTCATCAGTCGCAGTCTGCAGCTTCTCGCTGATCCAAGCTTCTATCTCGTCCACATCTCGGCTGAACTGCTGCAGAGTCTGAGATTCACCCAGCTTCGAACGCTTCTCGATCATCTGGGCCTTCAGGCGGCGCCATCTGGCAAACATCGAGACGAGGTTTGATATCCAACAGGACGGAGAACATCGTGTTTGTGTGTCTATGAATATTACATGTGGGTTTCCTAAGGTCCATATGAAGGATTAGATATATTTGCTTTTAGGCCATGAGGAAGAACAGATGCGTCAAAAGCAAAGTAGTTCACATACTTTCCTGGAGTATTCCACTAGAGGGCACAACACAGACGTGGTTCTGTAAATAAAACATGGAGGAGAAAAACATCTTCTCACCTATCCAGGACTTCATTGCGTCGGTTGAAGATCTCAGGTTTGGCGTAATGATCAGCTCCGACCAGCTGATCAGCAAAGGACTGCAGGGCGGCGATCTTCTCCTCCTGTACAACATGGAACAATCTAATGAAGTACAGAGCACAACCACCCATCAGTTTTAGAACTTCCACTCTGCGGTGGAGCAGATGCCGACCTGCACATTGATGGCCTTGTCAAAGTCTTCATGTTTCTTGATGAGCGCTTCAACGCTGTCCAAGGAGTCGCCCTTGTCGTCACTGGCGAGGAACGCTTCACGAGCAGCCATCCAGTTCTCGGCCTGTTCGCAGTCTCTGTTGAAGAGCTGGTGAGGGACACAGACCGATGTCAGCCACGACACAGTAACCGTCACCACCCGGTCATCTTGTGGCACAAAACTTTACCTGAAGCTCGAGGCACTGGTCCAACATCATGCGACGCTGCACCCAGGCCTTCTCCAGGTCGGCACGCTCACGGTCCAAAGCCTCCAGTTTCTGCTGGATCTCAGGACTGGCGTAGTGGCCTCGCGCCAGCAGCTGCTGGCCGAACTGTTCGAAGGCCTGGAAGGTTCCAGCACGAGCGTCGATCTCCGTGCGGTGTTCCTAGATAGAGGAGAAGAGAAACAGGTTGGGAACTTGTCGGCAATAGATCGGATAAAAAGATCGTTAGTGACCTGCACTAACATCTGGAAGGAGGAATTCTGTACCTGGTGTCTTTCCAGAAGAGCCTCAGCTCCAGTCACATCCTTTGCCAGCTCCTCTGAGGACACAAGCCCTCGGATGCCGTTAATCCAGGACATCAGATCTCTGTGGACAGATGATTTATTGTTATATGAGACATGTTCATACATCTCCTGGACCGACAACTCTGGAATCTACTGGCTGCTCGCTCCTCACCTGAAGTCCGACAGGAAGCGTTGCAGGTCATGGGAGTTTCCAAGTCTGTCCTTGCGTTGGTCAGCACGACCCACCAGGCTGCTCCAGGCGGTGTTCAGCTCGGTGCATTTCTCCTGGATGTCGTCCACAGCCTCTGGGTGGGACTGGATCAGACGCTCTGCCGTCTCGCCCAGAGAGTTCACCTGAGCGGAGCAGAGGAGGATTAAAATGAGTAAAAGTCTCAGAGGAAAGTTATACTCACTTACATCCTGTCGAGATCCGTTAAGAGCGACTGACCTTGTCCCCGAGGGCGGCCAGGTCTCTCTCGAAGCCTTCGTGTTTGCGCTGCAGAGCCTGAACACTGGCCAAGTCGTGACCGTAGTTGTCAGTGTTGAGAGCTTGGTTCTTCTCCTCAATCCACTCTTTGGTTTCATCAGCGTCTCTGTGGAGGCACGAACACGACATCGTTAAGAACCTGTCGCTGATGTCACAGACCGCACCTGTGGTTTCTCCTCGTGTTTGGCTCATACCTGTGGAATCGCTGCACCTCGTGTGCACTGCCCAGCATGTTGCTCCTCTCCTCAGCCAACTGCTGCAGAGAGCGCCAGCGATTATTCAGCTCCTGGACAGAAAAGAATTCACATCAGAAACAGCACTTGACGCTCGCTCAGCTCTTCTGCAGCTTGTTGCTTGTGATTCTGATTCACCGACGAGTTCTGCATGTGAAGTGAACATTTACTCATCTGAATGATTAAAGAGGACCTATTATGCTCATATCCAAGTATATCACATATACAGATATATATGGTGGATTTAATCTTTCAATGATGATCTGTATACAAAAAGATAAAAACATTAAACATTAAAATAATATCTGTCAACACTGGAGGACATTAAATGAGCTGTGATCGTAGCAGACGACCGAATAAAGGACGTAGGAAAAAAAAAAGAGTTAAATGGAATGTTTGAGCTTTTCTCTCACATTTAAATTCTTATACTTGAAACATGTTTATTATGTACAGCTGACGTTTGGTCGAAAATAAAAAAGAGCATAATATGTCCATTTGAAGTCATGTGAAGATTATAGATGTGCTCAAACATCAGCAGATCTTTGGCAAATTATTCTTGTGATCACGTTTTAAAGTGAGATCAGAAATGTCAGATTAAACATTCAGATTAAATTTAAAGCTGCAGATACAGTGTGTGCATCATTTGCATAGTTTGTGCTTGATGTGTGTCGGATGGTCACAGACGGTGATGGACAGACACAGGCATGACGGAGGGAAGGTGCACAGGACCGGAAGTTTGATCAAAACAATACAAGGGCTGGAAATCGACACCGATCTCCCGATTAGATTTGATTTCTATTCTAAAAATCCGATATCAATTAATTTAATTTATTTCAATTCTTGAGGGTTCGGTTTAATCAGATAAATTCTAATCTTGGGTTTGTCAGAATTTTATTTGTCAAATTAAGCTTCTGATAAATAGAAGGGCGCTCGGAGAGTGCATACCTCCACCGGGACTATCGCCTGGTCTCACCATGTTAAAGGTTGTGAGAAGAAACTCCGGGATTCACAGTTTATCAGAGGGTTCTTTCTTGGTTCATGCTCCAAACATCCGTAAAACACCATTAAATAAGTTGAATTGTTTTTGAGTGAGGACAAGCACTGGTGATATCGGATCATTCGAATAAAAATGGACATTAATCGGAAAATCGTTTTCTTTTAATCCAGCCCTGAACATTACACAAAGAAAATACGAGCAAAACATCAACATCTCCAGAGAGATGCTGAAGACATAACGCAGGCTTTATGTCATCCATTCAAAACATATTAGACTATAAGAGGGACCGTCACGGGACGAACATGGAGTCCAACTAAACGGGACACTGATAACTGGAGACAGACGACAGGAAGAGGGAGATCATGTGACACCCACAAGAAACCAAGACAACGACAGGGTTAGTTGTCTCATCACGATGCCGGACACAGAAACGGGGAGGGAGTGGTTCATACCGAGGTTGGGAAGGACTAGTCAATCTTACCTTGATAGTATTAAAGTTAGCCGTTGTTTGAACAGCCAAGCGTATATTCTACAGTCAAACATGGCAGAAAGAAGAGGCCGAAGAGGAGGAGGAGGAGGACAAGAACAGAAAACACCACACCAGTCAGGAGTGTTGTGAAACTCCCAGGTTTCATCTTCTCCAGGGATGTAACAGCAAATCAGGGAACAGTTAACACGGCAGCTACAGCTGAACCGATGAATCAAACCAACGATTGAGACATCTGGAGACTTCTGTCTTGTCTCGTCAATGTCCAATCACATTCAATGAGGACATGTAACATCAAGCCTCATGCAGAGAAAATGTCTGGTTGGACACGACTGCAGTAAACGTGATGCTTCAATATCGAACATCAACACTCATGCACAGTTATTGTATCAAATCTAAAATCTTTGCAGTCATTTTATCTAAAATTAAATCAAACTGATGAATGACTTAATGTATTTTGAACAGTGAGAGACGCAGTTTACCTTCCAGGGAGACGCAGTCTTAGAATCAGCTTCATCCTGTTGAAGAAGACAAGATGTGAGTCAGGACACGTTTCACTGCTGGTTCTTAAATATCAGGTATGAAAGCTACAGAAACTATTACAACCTTGCCGGGAGCAGAACCGAGCATCTCTTGTTGCTGTAAATAAAAATGAGAGATTAATTAATAAACGAGTAAGAGGTGGAGGACGGCTCATACAGGTGATCCAGGTGCAGAGAGCTCACCTGAGCCTGAACCATGGGCGCCTCCTCTGCCATGAGGCCTTCAGACTCCAGCTCAGATGCAACTTTGTTGATGTCCCTCAGACGAGACTCGTTGGCCTTCAGGTCCTGCAAACGCAAGAACGTCATACGCTTTGTTTGAGACGTGATTTTGGAAAAAGGACATTTGTAAAACAATCTCAACAAATGCTAAGAGAGTAATTAGGCAGAAACAGAGTGAACGAGCACCAACTGAACATCACAGTCCAAGAGTTGTGTGTTTGTAGTTTAACTGGATGAGTGTATCGAAGACATCTGTGACTACAGAAGAACCAGAGTTGTGATGTGACGACTCGAGTGTGGGCGTTACCTTCTGGAAGTCGTCAAACTTCTTCTGCAGGACCTCGACCTGCTCCAGGTCGGAGCCGACCTCTTCGTTGGTGAGGGCGCTCTCCTTCTCGTTGATCCACTGCTGGAGCTCGTTAGCCTCGCGGAACAACATGAACTTCTTGCAGCTCTTCTCCAACATGTCTTTGCGTTTCTCTCCCAGCTCCAGCAGGGTGCCGTACCTTTAAATCAAAGAGATAACAGAGAATTCAATTAGAAAAGTTGGACCTGGGACCTTGTGTGTTGGACTTAACCCATTAAGACCGGATGCAACATCCACGTCTATACACCAAGTTTGCTGCCTTTATTGTTATTTTTTGTAAAGTTCATGAACTTTAGGGAAAAGATGATGATTTACATTTAAAGCCGAATGTTCAAGCTATCAAATGTTTTGAATTTCATGTCTCTTTCTGCCTCAGAGGCCGAGAATTGAACGTCTTTGTAAATGTTGGTAATTCTGTCCGCTCCTCAAACCCTCAGGTTGTAGGTGGTTGTTTTGATTCGGCACTTGGGTCTTAATGGGTTAATGTAACTAATGAAAAATGGATCAAAGCTCAATGTGTGCAGAACATAACTGCTCATGGGTTTGGATTGAGAACAAGAAAAGAAAGATATTAACATCCATGACGAGTCTGGGATGAGGCGGGTTTGAGAGGTCGGCTTCAGAGGAACTTCTATCAATGTGCTGATAGAAGACGAGGGCGACGTACACAGTGTCACGACATGAGGGGGTTCGGGGGGGAGGGATGTATGACTGCTGATGATATTCAGTGGTATCACGATCACAAGAACACGCAGAGGGACGCTGATTCCTACTCACAGCTCTTCCACCTGCTTCATGCGCACAGACACGCTGCAGGCCTCCTTGGTGACAAGCCTGCTCAGTGTCAAGGGCGAACACACAGCGAGGCGAGATTACGTTATCAAACAGAGCGAGAGGACAGAAGAGGAGAGACAGAAAGAGCCCAGGGGGACGGTCATTAGTGCAAAAACTGAGCAGAAAACATGATCTGATGGAGGTAAAGAGGTTAAAAAGACTTAGAAACCGGTAAGAGAAGAGTTAGTGAAGGACATTCTGCCGGTCGTGAGGTGGGTTTCTTACTGATTGTCTATCTGGTCCTGGCGCAGTGCGATGCTGCCGTGTTCATCCAGCAGGTTTTCCCTGGAGGACGACTGAGTGGGGTCAAGCTTCTTCACGTACGCAGCAGGAACGAAACCCTGACGATCGTTCACCTCCACCTTCCACCAGTCCTGCAGCAGTGAGGAGAAGGAAATATGTGAACAGGTGACACAGATGAGAAGAACATTCTCTATATTCCAGTTCGTCAGCTAATCCCACGACTTCCAACATGTTGTGTCTGAGAAGCCTGAAGCATCTCATTGTGGAACTTCTGCCACGTTGTCCAGAAACTCCTGCACTGGACAGATACTTTCTCCAGGTGTCGTTCAACAAGCATCATCTCTGAGGTGAACATTTGTTGCAGCAGTCAGACTGACCTTGTTGGTGCTGTTGAGCAGCGTCAGGACGTCTCCTTTCTTCATGGTCACTTCTCGGGGGCTCTTCTCCTGGTAGTCATACAAAGCGAGGACCAGCTCCTTCCCGGTCTCGTCATCAGTCGGCGCCACTTGTTGCTGTTTGTTAAAACAAACATCTGCGTCATTTGATTTTCAGAAATAATCCTGAATAGTCTAGTTTCCAAGTATCTTTTCAGTTTTAACACAAATCGGTGTAGATGAAGCCTGAAGCTTAGTTGTGCAGTAGAAACTCCTCCCTGAGTTGAGGAGGTGTGAATAAGGTGTGAACCAGGACAGGGCCTCACCCTGCAGGACTGAGCCTGTTCCTTCAGACTCTGGATGCTGCTGCCGTAGGCGCTCAGGTCCGACATCAGAGCCTCGTGCTTCTTCAGCAGAGCCTGTGGAAAACAAACTATTCAGCACGACTGGAACAGAAATAAGAAATAAATGGAGCTGAAGCTGGAAACACCAGAGATCATGTTTGAATGTCTGGCCCACATCTCCTCCCTTCACATACCTCAGCAGAGTCCTCATCTTTGCCGTAGTCGGGGCTCCCCACGATCGGCTCCTTCTCCCTCATCCAAGACTCGGCCTCATTGGCGTCTGCAAAGTATTGCTGAGCCTGCAGAGAGTCCTCCAGGTCCTGTCTCCTCTGGGACGCTTTAGCCTTCAATGTGTCCCAGCGTCCATGAAGATCAGCCAGCTTCACTTTCACATCCTCAGCAGCAAAATGTCCTGGGACACGAATCATTAGCATTTTTAATGTTGGGACAAAATGTCACTTATTTTAAAAAGGTCAAAAGGCTTTGAATTTAAATGAATACCTTCCTCGACCATGGCCTCTCCTTTCTGGGTGACAGCCTTGATGCGAGGCTCATGACCGGTGATCTCAGCCTGCAGGGCCTGGTGCTTCTTCAGCAGGTTCTGGACACCGATCAGGTCTTTGCCTGTCGAAAAACAGAGTCAAACTTTATTTAATCAATCATCTGGAATATGAGGATGAAACTAAAGCATCGAGTTCACTTCTTATTTGTCACCAAACATCTGTAGGAGACTATACATCACTTTTTCATTTTAAAACACTGATTCTGTGGCTGGGGATGACGTTACCTCTGTTAGTGGAGGCAGCGATGGGCTCTTTCTCACGGATCCAAGTCTCTTCATCCTCCATGTCTCTAAACAGCTGCTGCAGCCTGAGAGAGTCGGAGAGCTTCTGCTTGCGTGCGGCCATGGGCTCACGCAGAGCTTCATAACGAACAACTAACGCCTCCTGTTTCTTGCGGATGTTGTCAGCATCGAAATGTCCAGCCTCTTGGAACTGGCGAGCCTGAATCGTTATGCCGTCGATACGATCCTGAGAGAAATCCACAGAATAATTTATAGAAACATTTCCATGGCACCATATAGATAAAAATCATAGCCTTCATGAGAGAACAGCATCGCACCTGGTGAGCGGCCACGTCTGCCTCCAGCAGTGCGTGTTTCTTCTGCAGGTTCTGGACACTCGTCAGGTCTTTGCCGTAGTCGTCTGAAGCCAGGTGACCTTCGACCTCGTATAACCACAGCTCAATGTCCTCCACGTTCCTGTTGAACTGCTGCTGCTGGTTGGCCTCACGGAGCTTGATGCCTACAAAACAAAAAAATCACAATTAAAAAAACATCTCAATCTTCTGTAGGTTTCTGTCACTGTGAGGAAATAACCGTTTTAAGTAATAATAATAATATTAATAATGGTACGTGCAGTATTATTGGACATAAGATCAAATGTTTTCCTCGTACCTTTGAGTTCAGTGGCTTCCAGCAGTTTCTTCCACTGGGAGCTGACCTCCTCCATGCGTCCAGCCACCTCAGTGGAGGCGTAATGTTTTCCATCCAGCAGCTCCTGGCCGTTCTTCTGCAGAGCATCGATGCGGCTTTGGTTTGCCGACAGCTCAGCTTCAAAAGCCTGGTGTTTCTGCACCTTGCCCTGCAGGTTGGAGGGGTCCTGTTGTCCAGAGAGCAGAGGCATAAAGGTTGGAGCGTACAAACAGAAGGCTGCTTTCAATATGCAACTCTCTGATAAATCACCTTGTAAGCTTCATCAGTCGCAGTCTTCATCTTCTCGTTGATCCAGCTCTTGAGCTCGTCAGAGTCCCTGAAGAACTGCTGCAGGCGGAAAGAGTCCTCCAGAGCGGCGCGGCGAGACTGAGCACGCTCATGCAGAGCATTACGACGGCTGAGCAGCTGAAGATGCAGAAATGAAGAGAAGACGAGTAGAGTTCACATCAAGAGAAATGACTAAAAGCTGATTAAATGTAAATGAAGTTTTACTTACAGCATCTCTACGTGTGGCCACGTCTTCTTTGGCGTAGTGATTGTTCTGGATCAGTTTGGTAGCAAACTCGTCCAGGGCCTGGAGACAAATAGACACAGAGGTTGAGAGTGAATTCTATTTCGTGAGAGCACAAGTGTAGAAAATGAAGAATGATATTCTTGATGTAACGTACAGTGATCTTCTCCTCCTGGGCACTCAGAGACTTCTCAAAGTCCTCATGTTTCTTCAGCAGTGCCTCCACGCTGTCCAGAGAGTCACCGAGGTCTTCGTTCAGGAGGAAAGCCTGCCCAATGAAAATACAACGTGAAAAACTAACGCACCACATTTATGCACCAGAGCATTTCTTAGGACATAATACTACTTCTGAGAAAACAGATTCTAAAGCCCAAGTAACATTCAAGTGTTTTCTGAAAAACTTTTATTTATCAGCCACTGACAGAAAGAAACCAGAAACAAAACCATATGAGAGTTTAAAACTTAACACCATATATGTTCATGGTTTTAACTCTTATATTGTTCTTATGGTGCATTATTGTGATTTCAATGAGGTTACCTCTTGTTTACTCATCCAGTTGTCAACCTGCTCAGTGTCCCTGTAGAAGAGCTGCAGGTCCATGCACTGCTCATACTGCTGCCTGCGAACCTCCCACAACTCCAGCAGAGACTCCTTCTCCTCAGTGAGGATGCCCAGCTACACAAAAAAACAACACAACAAGCAGTTTTAAACAAGGGACTGAGACACGGTGCAATAACACCACACAAAAGAAAGAGAGTATGATCTCAATGTACCTTCTCCTTGACCTCCTCCGAAGCGTAGTGTCCTGTGTTCAGTAAAGCATTACCAGCCTCATCAGTGGCTCTGAAACTGTCCTCATGAGCATCAATCTCTCCCTGAAGAACAACAGAGAACAACACTTAAAACTGAAGCTGCTTCTTCATTAAGTGTGAAATTAGCTATTTGATGCAACACTTGTGTTTTCACCTTATGCTCCTGGTGGCGGTCTAGCAGAGCCTCAGCTCCAGCCACGTCATTGGCCAGTTCGTCAGCATTGATCAGGGCCTTCATCTCCGTCACCCAGCTGGTCAGATCCCTGAAGTCAGCCGTGAAGCGCTGCAGCCTGAAAGACATTGTCACAAGGGGGCAGGAGTGAGCAGATGTCTGTGGCGCTCAAACTCACAGGTCCTGGCCACCGTCACTAAGATAATATCTGCCTGTGGCCGTGTAGCGTTCATGTTTCTCAGCATTCTGGGACAGGGCTGTCACTTCTTTCAAAAATAAAGTTTGAATAAAGTTGATATTATTAGTTGGGGCTCAGCAGACAGCTGCATCATGATACCTGTATGAGTCGTTGAGGCGGGCATGGCGCTCGGCAGCCAGAGTGCGAATCTGTTCCCAGTTGGTGACGAGTTCGTCTTTCTTCAGGTGAATCTGGGAGGCGTTCTGTGGATGTGTCTGCTGCAGGTGCTCTGCATCACCACCCAGAGTGTTGACCTGATTGAAAGCAGTAAGAGAGATTAGAACATGTTTTTAAATTTGTGGCTGCTGTGTTTGTGTTGACTTTCTGTAGAGCAGCACATGACGTACTTTATCCTCCAGAGCAGCCAGGTCTCTCTCCAGACCCTCGTGTTTGCGCAGCAGCGCCTGCACACTGGCCAGGTCACGGCCAAAGTCATCAGAGGCCATCAGCTGCTCCTTCTCCTTGATCCAGCTGATGGTCTCGTCCACATCCCTGTTGTCAGGATGAAACAACCCGGTCTATTAGTATCATGACACAGACGCACACTGTCAAAGCTGTGCATGTGTTCCTCTGATGTTTACCTGTTGAAGCGCTGCACCTCAGCAGCCCCGAACAGCTTCCCCTGCCTCTGCTGGGCCAGACCCTTCAGGCGCTGCCAGGCCGCGTTGACCTCATCCTGCTTGCGAACGATGAGCTCGGCCTCAGGGTGACTCTCCTGGATCAGCTTCGCTGCCAGCTGGTTCACCTCGTTCACACGCTCCTCGTGAGCCGCCAGGTCGGTCTGGAACTCCTCAAACTTCTTCTGCAGGAGCTCCACGTGCTCCAGGTCCTGGCCCAGCTCCTCAGAGGTGGCCATGGCCTCCTTCAGGTGGAAAAAAAACATTCAGGATGCTATCAAAGTGCTTTTGTGTCTCTAGAAGCTATAAAAAGTGCTTGTTAATCATGAATTGTTGAGTTACTGGTGAATCTGACCTTATCACTGATCCAGTCCAGGGCATCCTCACACTCACGCAGGTACTGGACCAGTTTCTGGGCCTGAAGCAGACGCATGCCCTTCTCCTTGGTCCTTTGCAGCAGGAGGTCCCACAGACGATGCAGCTCCTCCAGACGAGTCTACCGCACACAGAAAGAAGCCGAAAGAGGTTTTTAAGTTAGAAGAAAGAGGGGAGGAAGGTTTTAGAAATTATGGAATTTTGTAAAAAAAAAAAGGTTTCACCAAAATCTTTCAGCAAAGGTTTTCCTCTGTATTTAATTAAAAAGTGTTTGAAGGGTTTATAAATGTATAAAACTAGGACAGAAGAGATAATCTGGAAGAATGTCCACAGCACTCACACAGTGTCACACAGAGTCACAGCAGATCAACACCTACTAGAATATACTCAGCCATATTGACACTTGAAACTATGGGTCTCTGTTGTGTCCGGTAAGGCGTGTAGGACTGAATCAGATGCAGGAGTTAACAGTGCACATCTGAGATCCTGTTTTCTCCTCAGTGACGCACAATAATTGTCCAGTCCTCCACGGATACACAGAATGTTACTGTACTCTGATACCATCCATTAAACTGACAACATCTCCGTCGCTCTTACTCGAATGATCTCAGAGGCGAAGTGTCCCTCTGTGATCATCACGTTTCCAGTCTTGTCCAGTTTGATGATGGCACCGGCGTTGGCCTGAACTTCAGCTTCAAACGCCTGATGTTTCTGCAGCTTACCCTGTAAGAGAAGAGGACATGAATAAAAAACCATCGCATCAATCAAACAGTCAAAGAATGACCATCATTAAACACCAGCACAGACCTGCAGGTTGGACGGGTCCTTGTAGTTCTCATCGGAGGCGATCTGCAGCTTCTCCTGGATCCACTTCTCTAACTCGTCTGCGTCACGGCGGAAAAACTGGAAGCTGTATGAGTCCTCCAGCTTCGCCCGGCGCATAATCGACAGGTCCTTGAAACGACGGTAGCGGTCAAGCACCTGCTGCCGACGCTCCTGGATGTCCTCGGCTGTCTCCAGCACTTTGACCCCTGCGGTGTCCATCTTCTGAAAACCAAACACATTACATTTATTAGAAAGATCTGAAAGGATCAAATGAACAGTTTTACATCCCTTGTGTAATCAGCACGTTTTTCACTGCACGTTATTTAATGTAAAATAATGACATCATCACAAGCGTACAACTTAAATCTATTAAATGAATTGATTTTATTCCCAGTTAAAAACACTAATGGTTTTAATTGTTTGTTTCCTCATCAATATTTTAATTTAGAATTTAAGTTCAGGAGAAACAAAGAGAACGAGATTATTTAACTCAAGTCTTGACACAAACTTTAAACTGTGAAGCAGGACACAACCAATGAGCCCGTCTGTCCCCCTCACACCCCCCCGATCCCATCCCATCACACGCTGCGCACCAAAGGGGCCAGCAGCTGAAAGAGTGAAATGCCAAACGGGGGTGGGGACGGAAATTCCACACGCATGCTAACAGTAACCAGGCTTCACAACACAATGAGACTGCTGCAGTCAGCCTGTGTGTCCGCTGAGTCTCTGGACCCAGTGTCGCCTCACGCCGAGGGGAGTCTGCTAGAAACACAACAAACCCACTGACGCCCACAGACAAGCAGTTTCTACGAAAAACATTTCTATGGATCAGACAATGAGATCAACGGGACAGAGACAGAAATTCAGAACTTATTACGATGTGATTGTTGTTTTATTAAGTTAAACAACAAATGATGAATAATTGGAGCGGAACTTTTTTATCCTTTGGTGCACGAGCATTCCACAGACACGTCTGTGTTTGTTGAAAACGTCACAAATTAATCATGTAGAAAAGATGTGAGATATATATATATTTATATGAGTGTTTTACATAAAAGGTCATGTTCTTAATTAAAGTTCTATATATTTGTTTGACATCGGAAGAGGAATTTAAAAGCACTGAACCACAGAATACATCACAATCTTTTCTGTTTATGTATCAGACTCCGCCCAGGAAAAGACAAAGAAGAAGAGACACTGATATTGATCCGTCAAATCAAACCAAGGTCAACGAGAGCCGAAGCACAATAACCGACGGCCGAGCTGAGTGCAGGGGTGTGTGTGTGTGTGTGTGTGTGTGTGTGTGTGCGTGTGTGTGTGTGGAGGGTTTTTGTTGATGTTGCAGACAGTGAAACAATAAGCGATGGATGGATGTGAAACTGTCTCCTGATCCATGTCTACGCTCAATGGGAGGATTAGTGGAGTGAAGCTTTTCATCCAGGGTACAGATGAGCCCTGGTCCCAGGAGGTGTCGTTACCTTTACAGACACACACATATACAAACACACAGCACGGTGTCATCCCTGTGTACACTGTAAGAAGATTAGTACCATCACCTCACTACGTTGCCTGGAAAACGTCAGCCAGCCCCCCCCCCCCCTCTGATAACACGGCCCCGTTCACAGAGCTTAAATCATCTCAGGGATTCAAATGACCTCAGCCTGATTCTGCAGTGATGTCAGCGAAACACACGCAAAGATAACTGACACAAACACTGACATCACAGACACACACACACACTTGTTTGATTTGAGTTCAGGAAACTAGGAACAGGCACAGAAGTGTTTTAAAGTCGGATGATTCCTGATGATGTGCACAATGATGTGTGTGTGTGTGTGTGTGTAACTAACTAACGTGCTGGTTCACATCAGCTGGAACAAATTAACTCTAACGAGCCTCTTGGTGTCAGTGCTCGTCAAAGATAGTTTGAGAGAGAAGAACCATCACTCTGTTCCACTACTGTACAACCACAAGTGAGCCAAGAGGTTATGTCTTCATTTGTCTGTTATTTAGCAGCATTACGTAAAAACTACTGATTGGATTCCCAGTGAACACGGTGGGAGGATGTTTTATGGGTCAGAGAAGAACTCATTAAAGTTTGGTTTATATCTGGATCAGGGGGCGGATCCAGGAATTCTTTTTAATTGACGTAAATGTAGTATATGCTATAAGTGTGGGATCTGACTCATCTCAGGATCTGAGCTCAAAGAGAAGTTGATCAGGTCATGACTCGTAAGGAAGAAGAATATATTCTTTATAGCAGAGATACTGGAATCCTGTGGGTTGTTGGACTCACTGCTCGTGTGCAGCTATTTAGTCTCAGTTTATCTGAGCTGTAAATTTGTGTAACTGTCTTTCTGGCTGATGATTTAAATTCAGAACCTTTGCACACAACGTGACATAAACACAAGTAACAGCTGATCTACTTTCACGTTGTACAATCTAAGTCACCTGATGTCACCTGATGTGAATTTAGAAAGTGCAGTAACTCAGTAAATGTTCAGTCATGTAACTTGAAAATGACTTTCAACATGAGGTGTTAAAAGTGACAAGAACACTAAAACAACAGAATTAATTATCAGCTCTGCTTTGACACAAAGAGTGTAAGAGCATGCTAACAGCTGGACAACGTCTCTACACACGGAACATTCCAGTAAATATCAATAGCATTTGAGCCTGAAATAACCATCCCCACTACACACAGCACGGTGACTGCTGATAGCACTTCCTCCCTTCTTGCACCAGCAGATAACAGCTTTCCCTCTCCGCAGCTCACAGCTGCCTCGACAGGGTTCCTGCTCTCGCTCTCACGCCCACACACACTGATACCAGCCAGCACTTCTGACAGTGTACATTATCTGGATGGATGCTCTTATACCTCTTACTCCTTCCACAGTCCAATTATCCACCGTTACAGCCACAGAAAGTGAAAATGCAACATCACTGCCGCTGCCAAAAAATTTCTGTTCGGAAATTGCAGCTAAAATATTTCTGATCTTTATAAAGAGACACTGGTGCTGTCTGAGTTGACATGGTAACCAAGCTCCGTGGGCTGAAAGAAGAAACTGGAATAATTTAAATCTTTGTTTCCACACGTGTGCCTCAGGGTTTGTTTAGCTACTGGAAGCAACGAGCTTCATATCGTCCAGTTTTAGAAAACACAGAGGCTGCTGATGAAATGTGGAATTTGTCAGTGACGCGCGTCATGCTGTTAATCTGCAGATCAGTGTCACGACTGTACAGACAACACAACATATAAATACAAGAACACAGGAATGATAAGCTCATCACACCATGTAAAATGAGAAGTTACTGTTAATATAAGAATTCAGAGTAGTGTGGATGGCGGGCGTAACCAAGGGAACAGTGATGAGTTTTAAAACTAAGTAGTGTGGATGTAGCCTAAGTGCTGAGAGGAGATAAAAGACATCAGAGGATGGTAATGGTTATTGATTCACTCCATTAAAATGATTATCCACATACGGCAGGAATCTCCTGGATAATTCACTTCCTGGTAAAAATCTGAATCTAACCTCTTACAACTTCCTGCTACGTGGACACCAAACTGCTGCTCGGATCCCTCAGACCAAGAAAAGGGTTGTGATGTAAATGAGCATGAATCTAAATCCTGTTAAACACAGACCTTCACTTTAAACAAGAGCTTGTTAGTCCGGCACAGAATGCGTCAACGATCCCTGCTCCGAGGCTACACCCTAACATCCGAGCCTGTCCAAGACACTGCATCATCTGTCCATTCACAGATCTCACTGATGTTCTCCATGTCCTCTGTTTTCACCAGAGTGGGTGACGTCACTTAGTTACAATGGAGACCCATCTGTTATGAATAGGGGCCATACTGACGCCATACTGGGAGGATGGAAGCTAAAGGAATTTGCAGGAAATGGGCGAGTCTCATGAGACAAGGAAAATCTATTTCCTGACAGAGACGGAGGATGAAGACAACGACGTGGAAGGAACATTGTTTCCGTAGCTTGAATTGAGCTCAGCCGGTGAAAACAAATATGCCCGACCTCAGTCGTGTTGTCATTAAAGATTAATCTGATGTAAAACGCATCAGCAATTATTCCCGAGTCACAGCAGCTGTTGGTCGATGCGTAAGTTCACATTAGTTGATAAAAGTAAAATCAGGGATTTAAAGCACACAGAGCACAGTTACTCAGCAGTTTATGGCCTTTAGCAACCGCAAGTGTTAGCAAACATAAGGTCAATATCACAAATTTAAATTGAATCCACAGTCAAAACAAGCATGACAGCAGTGGCACCAGATATCAACGTATTTCATTGTTTTCTGACCTCGAAGGTACATTTTGAAATATATTTACTAAAGATACATCGTCTATTGCGTTACAAGATAAAACCACACTTTGCTTCCATGCACACAATGTCACACAAACAAAACACATGCAGTAAAATCCTAAATATCTATTACTGAAGCACATGCACAGTTCAGATCTTACCAAAGTCCCTGTGACGTTCAAATTAAATCAAAAACAACAACATTACAGCTAAATGCAAAACCAAACCATACACACAAGATATAAGTCTGGAGCCTCAGGTTTTCTTGTGTTGTGGCCGATGTGAGGGCTACATCTGTGAAGACGCCACAGTCTGCAGCGCTGTGCACGTCTGTCGTACACTCCTTAAATCTGAGAGTAATTGAGGTCTCTTCTATAGAAGCACAGACGCAGTGCACCTGCAGTGACTGTGCTGAACCAAAGAGCTAAGATGAAGCCCAGCCCATGCGTCTGTCTGTGCCACAGACCCCTCCCTCCAGCTTTCTCCCATCTCTTTACTCAGCAAAACACCAACACCACCACCACCAGCCTTCAATTCTCTAGAATCTTCTTTCATAGGAAAAGACTCAATGCAACACACAAACACACGGAGGCACACAACAGCAACACAAATGCGGTTGTTACCTTGAGCTTGGGTTTAGTAAAGGTGGACATGTTGTGAGTCTGTGTGGGCTGGCTACAGGGCACAACATCGATCGCACAGTGAGTAAGAAGCAATCGAGGAAGCTTTCACAGCAAGGTCACAACACATCTTCTGTGTCAGCTGGCAGAAATGATTTATTCATTTTCTAATAGGAACTAAAATCAAACATCTGTATTGTGCATCCACCAAAATGATTAAATGGTAGTTTAATGGACTTTTGGACCTTAGAAACATTATGGACAGTAGCACGAGCGATCAAGCTGCAAACACAAACACAAATTCACATCTTGTCTGCATTGTTTTCTATTGATAAACGCTAAATACTGATGCTAATACTCTGCACATTTGATCCAGATGGATTCTTCCACTCAAAGTAGTTCATGGCAGCATTAACCAGCTGCACTGTGTCTGCAGGACTTATTCTAAACTGGCAGCCTTGAGACCAGAGGCCTAGTTTTTATCTGGGTCATTGTCTGTGACTGTTGTTATAATGAGGACGATTACTAGGTTGTACAGGTTGGTGAAGAGAAATATGTGGGTTTTAATTGAGTCACAGGCTATTCCATACAGCAAGCATATATCATCTGTTAGTATTATTCCACATCGGTTTATCAGAAAATTACTATAGAAGTGACGATGCAAAACCCAGCAGCTGTCTACCACCACGATCTCATCTGTAATGCAAGTTGTATCACAGTGAATAATATTTGATAAGAAGTGTATTAAGTTGTGATGTGGCTGAAATGGGGCAGTGAGAAGGAACATGTGATTTGCTCTGGGAATATCTGAGGAGTATTTTTTTGTGGTACAGCTCTGCCCTAGATCGCCTCCATGTTTCTCCATCAGCTCAGACTCCAGCCTAACAACATCCACATTACTAAGACATATTGAGAGCTTTACTGAGGTTCTCCTGTCTCACTGTTGGCTCTACGTCATCCACAGGTTTGTGTAGACTGCAGATAAAAAACAATAAAGATTGCACATTAAAATGAATCATCAATATCAGATTCTGAAAACATCTGTTTAAACGATGGTGGACATAGTCTCACCAACTCATGTATGTGGCAGTACACATTCCTTTCCCTGTTTCTATTTCTGATTTCATCTGCAATCCAATATATCGGTAGAGCACTAACAGAATGAACATATTAACGGTTAATAACAGTTCATTAGGATTCACAGAATTCAACCTGTACAGATACAGTAAGATTTTCTCTCTGTGGTCAGTCACGGTGCCCCCCCCCCCACAGTGTGAAGTCACTGTCTCTACAGCTCTGTCTGAATTCCTGTCCTGATTGGACGAGGGACAGTTGGAATGTGAGGAACTTGGCATCACCCTGACAAACCCATTTGCTGAGACAGTCAGTGTGAGACGTTGTCTTCCCACTGTCACACATGTGTGTGTGTTTCTCCTGTCCACGGCCGTCTTGATATCTTCCGTCCTGAGGCTCCAGGGTCTGTGCGTGAGCCCGGACCACTCCTTAAAAACACGCGGCCCTGACCCACGACGAGAGAGCTCGATAGAGGAGGAGCGTGCACAGCATAGAGCTCGTGCACAGGTGTGAATTATTAACAGTGTAAGAGGAGGACGAGCAGCTGGGGCCTCGCGTCCAGACGT